GGTGGATTTATTGTAAAAAAAATATTAAAAAATTTAAAATGTGAAAGCTGCCAAAATTGTTTGATTCAACAGTCCGATAAAAATCCTAATTCTTTAATAAATATTAAGAACCGAGGAGGATTAGTGTATCCTAGCAAAGCTGTAGAAGTATTATGCCAAGAATCAGAAAAGATTTTTAGAAGTGAATCTCCATTATATTACAATAAGCCAAAGAACAAACAATTTTTAATTAACAAAGTTAAAGTGAACATTTATAAAGGAGGAAAAGAAACAATTCCATATTGCACAGGACAAGAATCATTTTTAAATAAGCATATGCACAGAGATAATTTAATAAATTTAACAATCAATAAATATGTTGACATTTGTATTTTTCACGAAATTAGAAAAATAAATGATAACAATATTAAGGAAAAACGTACCCGAACTAAGTTAAAAAAGCTTATTCATTTTAGTCATGAGTAAATAATGTGTATTAAATATTGTCATTATACCGACTTATGGATCCAAATTGTGATTTATATATTTATTTAAGATTCGACATAGGTAATATCATTTTAATTATAAATTATAAGTAAATATAAGTATGATTTTGTTATTCAATATTAATATTAAAAATTAACATTAAATATAAAATATGATGAATAACGAAAAGAACTGAATATAAAAAACACCTATTATAGTTATTGATTATTTAAATTTACAATTTGACATTTTGATAATTGATAAGACCCCTTGTAACCTCAAAATAAATATTTATTCCCGTGTGATAAGTTGTAATGGCCTATCCATTCTTCTATTATCTATGGATATAATATACTATTGTGGTGATACGGTGTGTATCATTATCATTGATAGCAAGATGATAACAAAATCGTGTTTGATAATTGACGTTAAGACGTGTGGTTATTGTTAGTTTTTTCCAAGTCTAAAGTTTATACTGAACACAAAATGCCTACAATCAATATCAAAAGAGATTTGCTTTTCGAGGAGCTGGGAACTACTTACAGTAATCATTTGCTTTTATTATAAACTGGTATTGTATTTCTATCATATTTTAATGTGTTTCAGCTGATGAAGAATTTGAAAACTTGTGCATCTCATATGGTTTAGAGCTTGATGAAGTGGTGAGTATTCTTTAGTTTATAATATTAATTATAAGTTGTTAATTGCCATAAAAAAATGTATTAGACGTCTGAAAAACAAATGGTCACTAAAGAGCAAAACATGTCCAAATCAGAAGGTGCTTCTGATGATATAATTTATAAAATCGATATACCAGCTAACCGTTACGATTTGTTATGTTTAGAAGGACTAGTGGATGCATTACTTGTATTCCAAAAAAAGTAAACTATCTATACAGTTATCATTTAAATGTAATTATTTGTTATCAATAGTTATTATTTTATTATCCTAGAATGGAGTTACCTCGGTTTAAAGTTCTGCAGTCTAAAAAACCCCTTAAAGTATTTGTTAAATCAAATGTACGTTTGTATGATAAGTATATGAATTAATTAGTTATACTTAAAGAAAGTTTTTTATTTTAAGTTTCTATACTACATAATTTTGTTGTTTGTATAGACAAAACAAATTCGGCCTTATATTGTTGCAGCTGTGTTGAGAAATGTTGCATTTAATCAAGCGAGATATACTAGTTTTATAGACTTGCAGGATAAATTACATCAAAATATTTGTAGAAAGCGATCACTTGTTGCCATTGGTACTCATGACTTAGATACTATTCAAGGTCCTTTCACATATGATGCTTTACCACCTAGTGATATCAAATTTCAAGCTTTGAATCAATCAAAAGTCTTCAGTGCTTCTGAACTAATGGACATTTATTCGGTAAACAAAAATTAAACTCTAAAAGTTGGAATTCTATTTATATTTTTATTTATAGACACATCCTCAATTGAAACAATATTTGAGTATTATCAAAGACAGTAGTGTATATCCAGTTATTACAGACATTAATGGAACTGTATTATCTATGCCCCCTATTATTAATAGTCATCATTCAAGGATTACTTTACAGACGAAAAATATCTTCATCGAGTGTACAGCTACTGATCTTAAGAAAGTATGCCTGAAATAAAAGATTTGATTTTAAAAATTTAATATTTTATTTGTTTTAGGCAAATATTGTTTTGGATACAGTTCTGTGCATGTTCAGTAAATATTGTTCAAATAAGTATTCAGCAGAAAGGTGTGAAATTGTATACCCAGATGGATCAGTAAAATTATACCCAGAACTTAAATATCGCAAGGAAACAGTGAATCGGAAGAAAGTGAATTCATATTTAGGGATTAGGTTTGATAGAAATTATAATATTAATAATAAATATGTTTAAATCTTAAATTAAATAAAATTTTTAGTGAAAATTTAGACAACCTGTCCACTGCTTTATCATCAATGTGTTTGAAAAGTACTGTTCTGAAAGAATCTGATGGAATCGTTGTTGAAGTACCACCAACTAGACATGATATTATTCATGCATGCGACTTATACGAAGATGTTGCTATTGCTTATGGTTATAATAATATACCTAAAACATTACCTAAGACATCAACAATTGGCTCTCAACTACCTATTAATTCTTTATCGGACAAAGTCAGAAATGAAATCGCATATTGTGGTTTCAATGAAGTATTGACTTTCTCCTTGGTGAGTTGTTATATTTTAATTATATTTCATTACCATGGTATTATATTGTATCTCTTCAGTGTTCAAAAGAAGATGTTTCGTCTAAACTTCGTAAAACATTTGACATTGAACGTACTGTACGCATAAGCAACCCAAAAACATTGGAATTCCAAGTTGCACGTACCAATCTCTTGTCTGGACTTTTGAAAACAATTTCAGCTAATAAAAAAATGCCACTGCCCATGAAATTATTTGAAGTAACTGATGTGGTGCTTAAAGATTCTACTAGTGGTAATTATTAATTATGAATGATTATTGTATAGATATTTGGGTTGCTAACTAATTTATCTCCAATTGTAGAAGTTGGAGCACGGAATCAAAGAAATGTGTGTGCTATATATTATGGTAAAACTCCAGGTTTTGAAATTGTCCATGGTTTAATGGACAGACTCATGCAAATGTTAAATGTTCCATTTTCTACTGGAAGTGAAAATACCTATCAAATTAAAGCAGCAAATGGTATGAGTGATATACATCAAATTGTTTTATTTTCTAACACTTTAATTTTAATTTGTTTTGGTAGATGATACTTTCTTCCCAGGTCGTTGTGCACAAATTTTTTATCGTGGACATATTATTGGATCAATGGGTGTTTTACATCCAGAAGTACTTACTGCTTATGAACTAACTATGCCATGTTCAGCATTTGAAATCAATCTTGAACCTTTTTTGTAATTATATGATTGAATGAAAAATATTGATATAATTTATTCAAATGAAATTATGTTTTATGGTTTTTAAATAAACTGTTCCTAAATAATATAAAGGTACTTAAAAATTTATCATATGCAAATCAGAAGTTACTACGTATTAAAATATAATATAAATATATTATGAAATTAAAAAAAAAAAAAATAATAATTTATATAAACTCATGTGTATTTTTATGTACCAAAACTTGACCAAAGGCATTCATCAGAAACTTGCTCAAACCTTTTACTTAATTTATAAAAGTGTAAGTAATAAAAAATTAATTATTCAAAATGTTGATTCTATTTGTATATTTCTAAATTTATTCTATAATATAAATACTTAAGTCTTTTGGTTATAGAAATAGCAAAACACAATTTTTTTAACATAGGTAAAATATATTTGATGCAATAATATGTGCATATTTAGATCAAAAATAATAATAATCACTCAATGTAAAAAATTCACAGAATGTTTAATTTCTAAAAAAAAAAAACCTAAATTTAAAACTAAAATAATAAGAAACAGTAACAAAAATAAGTCTAGTCTATAATTACATAAATAAAAAAACAACTAATAGGATAAAATTGGAGAGTATTTTGTTAACCATTACAAAACACAACTCAGAAGTCACAAAACAAAAAATATTCTAAAATCATACTACATACTCTTAGGTACTTGGTAGCAGTAAAAAATAGATATTTATATAACATTCTACCAAAAATAATCGGTGGCCCTTTTAAAAAAAAAAAAAACAATTGGTAAACATTTTCATATCATTTCATTAAAAAAAATATATATTTAATATATCCAACAGTTCCTGCAATAAATGTCAAAACATGTCAGTCTTAGTTATTGTCTTGTTATGAGTACAGTGGTATGTATTAAATAATATAAACATAAATAATGTTTTTACATATTCGGAATGTTATGTTTCTAGCTGTATTGAACGGTTTTTAATATGTTATTTTAATGATTTTGTAAATTTATTTAAATATATTATCAAAATCAACCAAGAGTGCTTCAATCACCATGTTCTGTTGCATTAGATCTATAGCCATATTTGTTGATTCAATTTCTGGCCACATGAGGGTTGGCCCAAAAACAATTGCTAAATTTGGTATGTGCATCCTGTTGAATTCTTTGTAACTTGTAACTCTATATACACAATATAATTAATATAAAATAACATGAGTAAGTTAAATATATTATATTACTTTAACAAGTGTTTGAGTAAAAACTTTAAGGTATCATAATTTGGCCCGGGTAAAGATTTAGTGATGTCACAAAAATTTGATAATTTGTCTTTGTGACTATGACTTGCTGAAAAAAAAAATTCTTAACTATGGTAATGTACTATAAAATTTAGTATCTAAAAAAAAGTTGAATAATTCATAACGTATAAATACATATTATAATAATTGTATAATGTATACAAACAAAGGTTAGTAGTCAAGTAAAAATACATTGAATGAACAATAAATTTAAGTTAATTGATAAATAAACTTTGGACACATACTTCCTGCTGATATTGCTTTACGAAAAGCATGATATGGTATTAATGGCTCTTTAAGTTCTCTGAAGAACAGCTTTAGAACACCAGTCAGAACATGAACATCTTCTTCTTGGTCAATTACTGATAGATTATTTTGATCAACTTGTAGTCTAATCTTTTGCACTTGAGATAAATTGCCTGAAGCGCGGTATAAACCATCAGTTTTCAAATTATCTTCACTGCTTTCGATAGCTGTTATGCAGCGTTTAACAAATTCTGGGATACGAGGTTGGTTTGTACCAGTAACATGTTCTAAGAAACATCCAAATGCAGGCTCATCTAAATTTAAAAACAATTATTTAAAAATAATTTTTGAAAGAATAATGTACAAATACCTTTCCATATTCCTTTTTTGACTAGTAATTCTATTGTAGGTCTTCGGTGAAAAAATTTACGTAAACGAGCTTTTATTTTAGTTTGACGTTCTACATTAGTTGCTGTTAAATCTTCCATACTTCCTCCGTCTTTTAATTTTACTATTAAAATAATTAATTTGACAATTAATCAATAATTTTATAATTTTTTCATACTTCTTATTATAAAAATGACACTTAAAATGAACCAATATTTAAAATATTACTGTTTATAAAATAACAGATAATATAATACAATCACTGAACAAGCAAAAATATTTATTAGACTCAATTGATAAAACTATTATTTTTTTTTCCTGTTTCATTATCTAAACCCTTCACAGGATATGACTAAATATAACAAATTAACTAGTCCATTATGCCCAAGTGTATCCTATTTTTTTTTTTTTTTTTATACAAGTTATTTTATAGTAACTTACTATTAATTGACTTGTTTCTATTGACTTTAGTTATTTTTTCATCTTCAGGCAATTCTAAGATATTTGAACTTGGTATACGAGGACAACTATCATAACTACAAGGCTAAAATTAAAAAGCAAGTATTAAATTACAAAACATTATAATTATACATTTTACTAGCATATTTAACCCACCAGATTTGAAATAGCTGCTTGTATTCCATATAGCCATGATTCAGCCTGAATGTTACAATCATTTTGGAACAATACCTGGGTTCTTAAAACAGTACTGATAACATATACATTTTTACGGCTAGACATCTTGTCAGCTTTTTGAACAAGAGCACCATTTAAGTCAATACAAAGTTCTGGCCGACCATTACCGTTTTTCTATAAAATACAAATTTGTATATTTATACATACATATAAGATATAATACTATAAACAATATTATACCATAGCTATAAAAGATTTTGCATCTTTAAAGAAAAGTAAAAATAATTCAGTAAGAATAACATGTGATGTTGTCCAATTTTTTCGAAGACGTTTTCCATTTTCAGTCATTTTTGTTCGATTTAATGGACCTTCTTTTAATACGCACTAAATATCAGTCAAAAATGTTTGATATATAATTTTGAAATCTATTTAAATATTAATAAAATGAGTGGTTACCATATGGCCATCCCATAATTGTGGCCAATTTCGAGGAACTTGAGGTGACAATGAACTCCTATCAATTTAAATAATAAAGTTAGTATACCTATTTAGCAATTAAATTAAATGATTATCATGATATTTATACAATAATAAATTACTTTAAGATTGGAGAATCATTTTTTTCAATTATATTCTTGTTTGAGGGTTTGAGAGACGATGAAGAATCTTCTAAGTCAACTTTTGAATTTGATGGGCTAGTATTACGTAAGATTTTATTGTTTGTTTCAGGCAATGTCCAAGAAGATTCATTACTATTTTCTTCAAAATAATATGAGCGACCTTCAAAATCTTTTGAGGTAAACCACTAAAAAACAAAAAATATATTTTTAAAAATGATTTAATTTATGAGTTCAAATAATAAGTTTAAAATAAAATAGTGATTTATTTAATGAAATTATATTTTTTGTAAAACTGAATAAAAATAATAGGTATTTACAAATTTTCAAAGATAGTTAGTAAAAACCTGTTTATTATCAGGTGAAGAACTAGCAATGTCTGTTAAACCATTTTTCCAAACATGTATGTTGGACCACAAAGATGTTTTAGATGAAACTGAAATTTCATCGGTTGGAAACGCCAAAGAAACTGAGTCTTGCTGAGTATCATGGTTAACTATTAATGATAATCTATTGCTCGGCTGGTCGTTCATATTAATGTATTCAAAATCTGAGACGCTGGAGGTAGAATCAATGTCTACCAAAGTACCTACAATTGAATTCGAGAAAGGTTCGTGGTACAAACTAAATAAATTCCAGGGTTCAGACTCTTCAGCTACTGTGTAACGTAAATGTTGTAACCATTCAACCACATCCGCTTCCATGATGAACAGTCGATATGTAAACTGATGCGTTCAAAAGATGGCGTAATACTAATTGACACATGCTGACATCCGTTCATACGCGGAGCTTATTATTTTATGACATCATACAATTAAAACGAGACAATCAGACAACTACTATTTTACACGAGCTATATTCATGGTTAACTAACAAGATGGTGAATACAAATTTTTTAAAATAGATTTGTGATGTGTATTTTTGGCTATATTGAACTTGTTGGCATTTAAATGTCATACTTTAACCTAATTATAAAACTAAAATATCTAAATAACCTTTAAAAATTATAATTATAAATAAATCATAGTATTCCGTTTTATAAATAAAATATTTAAATAATTTTAAATAATATTATATAACTTGTCGAGGAGAATAAAAATACGATATTGTAATACAAAAAAGTAATCTATAATATAGGTTATTCAATCTAACAATGAATGAGGTTAACATCATAGTGTATTAACTTACGAAACGATATTTTTGTTTTCATTAATTGCAAACTTTCGCGATTTGCAAAGGTTAAAAATTAGAATATAGTTCAGATATTAAATCAGCTATTATTTTTTTATAATAAATACTAAACTTTAATTAAAAATATGTTTCATTTAGTCAGTTCTCGAATTGGGAAAAATTAAGTAAAGGAGCTCAGTCCAACGATTTGAAAATTGCGTTCCATGTGCGCAATTATTTGACACAGACCCGTGAGGGGCTTCCCCCCTCTTCCAACCTAAAATATATTTTAAATACCACTTTTCAGCTAAACAAATATTTAAATTCCAAATATAATTATTTTGATAGCAATACCAACATCCTATATGTTACAATGGAAAATAAAAATAAAATAATAATTAACATAGATAATTGTAGGCGATCAGGCAGTCTCATGAATCGAATGATATAATCATATATTTGGTTTTTGTTTTTATTTACTTTTACTCTTTAGTGCGGGCCACGGCCTTAGAAGATTAGTCTAAGGTCGTGGTGAAGGCATTTATTTTTTTCCGATACACTAAATTCACAGACATTACTATTTATATTTTTCCAGAAATAACGACGTTGTCCCTTATCATAACCACCATATAATCTTGAATTATAAAAATAGTTTTGCGATTATAAATCGTAAAATTCATTTTCCAACTGACGTAAATTGAAATTCACATAAAAATTATTTTGGACATCAATTAGGATGAACGTGGCGTCCTCCCGTTCCGGTGAAAAAATATAGTTGGGGTAAGCGAAAAAAAAAAAAAATAGTAGAAGAGCTCCGTCCCCCAGCACTCCCCCCAATTCGAGCACTGCATTTAGTTAAAAAAATGAAAAATAACCTGTGGCAGTCACGTCCATCCAGTTCTCGATTAAAACCGAGTAAGTAGACGGGTGATTATTAAGTTAATACGTAAACAGAATGTATCTTATACTATTTTCCATTAATCATTAATATAGGAATATATTTGAAGTATATTTAAAGAACTTATTTGCGTGGAGCGTTACAGTATATGAACTGGCAAGTAAAAACTTTTCAGACAAAATTTATATTGAGTAAATTACTTTAGACTGGTCAAATAAATTAAAATTCTCAAATAAAACGTCTAATAAATTTTAAAAACATATATTATAATTTATAACAGGTAAATACGCTTGATTATTTTAAAAAATGTATTAGATGTATAGATTTAACTTCTATTTATATCACTATCAGAGTACATAATTTAAAACGAATTGGAAATTATAACCATTGAATTTATTACTTATTACTAGGGTTGGGATTTTAATGCCCTAAAAAAAAATTCTTTTATGACCTAAAAACTCTAAATAATGCATTAAAATTTTTATTTTTAATAATTTTAGTATAAATAAAATTATTTGAACTATAATAAAAAGTTAAAAGACGGAAAAATTTATAAAATATATTATAAAAATGACTTTAAATGTACTCCGAAAATATATTACAAGTATATTTAGTATAGTATTAGTATGAATTAAAAAAAAAAGTTGTACATAAAGCTAGATACGTATTTCGTTTAATCTAAAAAAAACGTATCGTTTTACATTCGTTATTTAAGTTTTGACGTATTTTAAAAATTGTCCGATAATATAATTCGAATTACGAGTATCTACTTATAATCTGTTACCGTGGGCGTGTCCAGAATTTTTCAGCAAGTCGTGTAAAACACAAATTTACGAATTTGACATTTGGTTACCAAAAGGGACAGAAAATACTAACCTCGAATTTTGAAAAAAATCGTTATTACCTTGTGATACATTTACGGATATAATTACAAACTTTCATTATTCCTATTATAATTCCAAACGTCGTTTTGTTAGAATCATAACTTTAGACTAGCATCTATTGATAACATAAAGATCGTGCCTGTATATAAAGCCGCGTCCACACTAGCGTAACATAACGACGAACTGTTTGTCTAACTGTTTGACAAACTGTTCGTCGAACAGCTAAAAATTATGAGTATGTTCGCGTAGGTTCGCATATAGCTAACCAATAAATTACATTATAACTTAAATAACTTTTCTAAATAACTTCATATTAGTTCAATCTACCGTTGAGTATAGACGTATATGAGTTGAATAGGTAATACTTAATTATTAAATATTTTAATTATTGTAATTAAATAATCTAAATTTTATAAATAATGACTATGCTGTAAGGGCTGTAGGCAATTAACTAAACTTAAAAACTGATTATAAATAATAATAGTTTAATTTTGTGTGTTCGTCAAAATGTTTGAAGATGTGTCCATACCTGTCGTAACATGTTCGCGTAACATCCTCTGATGTTACGTCGAAATACCGACAACTGACGGATCGCCGATTTGTTCGTTAGAATTTTACTAGTTAACCCATTACTTACACACGAATCTTGTTCGTGTTTTATTACGCTAGTGTAGACGAGGCTTAAAATTCACGACCAGTAGACACAGCTATGTCTGTTATATTTATATAAAAACCATGTTGGTGTAAAAATCTTAAAATAAAATTTCTAATTCATATTTTGTTTCCAAAAATTCAAAAAATGTTCCAAAAACTCTAAAATGCCCTAAAAATCAAGAAAATTACCTAAAAACTATAAAAACTCCAAAATATGCAAAATAAACTTTCTTATTCTCATTCAAAAGTACGTAAAACAAATTTGTGACAAGACGAGTTACGCATAATTAGCTTTGGAAAACAATGCAAAGTGCATCGAAATCCCAGCCTTACTTATTACACACATATATATATTATATTAGGGTGCCACTTATTTATATGTGGTGTTATTTTTTTTTTTATAACACAATTTTGGTAGAACTTATTGGAAAACAGTCTCTAAAATTATTTAAAAGATTCAATATTGATGGTGATTTTTTAAAAACTTATTCCGACACTTGGAATACTTCAATTGATTATAAAAGATCAAGAAAACATTCAGAAATTATATATTTTAAATGATGCTGCTGAAAGAGGAATTAAACTTATTGAAGAATTCGCTCAAAAAAAAAAAAAAATAACAAAAAATTTCGAACAAAAACAATTTCTATTACAGGTAAATCAATGAAATTTTAATTACAATAATTAATTATATAAATTATGATATTTATTTTTATTTTTCAGACAATACAAGATTATCGCAAGAAATATCCTAAACTAACATAAGATAATATAAAGAAGTAATTTTAATTAATTATTGAATTAACTATCATATTATAATATATAATATACAATAATAATAATAAGATATAAGATAATTAATATCGTAATTGTAATAATTACTAAAACTAACTCATAAAATATTATTTTTTACGGTTATAATTTATTTATTTTTCTTATTCTTACAAACTTTTAAATTTGAAAATATGTAATGATATAATAATTAATATACTTATAGTATATTAGGTTTAACAATATATTAAAAGAAACGTTATAAATGAAAACCAATAATCTTTAATATGTTCGTCATAGACGCAACTAGGGTAAAAAATCTGATGGGGCTACAGCCCTCCTACCAAAACTTAAAATAACCTGTAGACAGGGACGGCGCGAGGGGGTGGGCAATAGGGGCTGTTGACCAGGGCCCCGCGCCTTAAATTATAATTATGGACCCTCGGTTCTGATTTACTGAACTTAAAATATTTTATTAATATAAATTATAAAACCCAACATTTATTTTGCCCAGGGCCTTGCAATCTCTAGCACCGTCACTGCCTGTAGATTACTAACCTACTCTTATATACCATAGTCAAGTTGGATTAACTGCAATGTGTCTTTTTTTTTTTTGCATGTGACACAATAGTGAAGTTAAGTATGCTGTATGCCATGTATAACATGAAATATTTATGGGGGGGGAGGACTAAATCTTAGTCCATGGGGGCTAAGCCCTCCCTAGTTGCGCTAATGATGATTGTTATTTATAAACTTTAAACTTAATACGGCACCTGTTAAACATATCCAAAATCAATAAAACTTTACAGTGATTACTTTTAGACTATGTTTAATAAAATTACAAGTGGCACGAAGTAAAAAATAAAAAATAAGTGGCACCCTAATATATATATATATATATGTATTATAGACGTATATCAGTGGTGGCCAAACTACGACCCGCCATCATTTAATATCTGGCCCGCGAAAGTCTTCTATATTACAGCACTTATTTGTATAACTGTAATATTTTGCATTTACATAAAAAAAATTTAGAATGCATTTTTTTATGGCCCGCGATAAAAAAAAAGTTGTTTTTTATGGCCCGAGGAAAAAAAAGTTTGGCCACCACTGACGTATATTATAAAATGTTAACATAGAGAAAACATACACATGTTGCAATAAATAAGCTAAGACGGCTATGTTTAAAGTTATATTACAACCATAACATTTACAAACTTCGATCAACTGGTATTATATAGTTATTATTTATTTTTTCAATTAAAACACACTTGCATTCAGGTCGTTTTTTAATTTTACGAACAAGATAACTTAAAAAATCATAATAAAATTATTTATAAACATTCGACACATATCAGGTAAATATATAAGTAGATAAAATAATAAAAATAATTCAATTAATTTAAAAATATTCTTAATTCTTTGTTTGGTACTTGTGCGTTATCGCGCCTATCGCGCGACTACCTCATATTATGGGTTATAGCGAGGCCGTTTTATACACGATTCTATTTCTATTTTTTCAGTGTCGTTACAATCGCACTTATCGCAACCCCTCTCCGAAATTTTCTCCATGTCTAGGTTAAAATTTACAAATTTTACAAGTTTGAAATATGAAGAGCTAATATTGAATACCTAGTATCATTGATTATAGAATAGTCTATTTTATTATCAATGCTATTATTTAAGTCAAAATATATTAAGGATTTACATAATTTTGTTAATTGTAAAATGTGTTATATTTTTACCTTGACCCTCCCTAAAAAAAAATTCTGTGTGCACCACTGCTTTTGAAACTAAACTATATTTAAATAAATACAAGACTAAAAATATAAGCATATATGTGAACATGCACTTGCGTATAACTATGCGTATTCTTGCATGATATTTATTGTAAGCAAGTCTATAATGCAATAGTATGAACCTGGCTTAAAGAAAAGAACCAAAATAATTATTATTTGCAAACACCTCAAAAATTACGATTTTTGTGTTATGTCGTTGTTGTAGCAAACAAGCGATATATTTTCCCATATATTTCTTTAAATAACAAATACATTTTTAATTATTTTAGCATTAAAACCTTTATTATTAAAATATTAATAAAAAAAAACAATCAAATTTTGTTTTTAATATGCAAATTTCCTTGGCTCTTGCAAATAACATTATAGGTATACAAATTTCAATGATTTTTTGGTGGTGCAAAAACATATCTTTGCACCACCACATTTTAGATGTGGTGTTGCAAGTGCCACATTTCTACCACCCAATTTACGCCACTGCTGGCTGGGTAACTTTTAGGACTTTTATAGACATTTAGTCACAACCACGCTGTAGTAGTAATAACTTGTTGTACAGTTACGATTATTTGGCAATAGATCTATGGAACTTACCAACTACATTGACTTTTAGCTTTGAGTAGTTTTGTATTATTATAAACCTATTAAAAATATGTTCGGTAACATAATACGTTCGAAATCAAGGTAATTGCGACGAGTCGGCGGTAGGCGTGATAATGCACAAGTACCCTTTGTTTACATACATAAATTGTCTAAAAACCATAAGGACCAATAAGCACTTAAGTGAAAATTGTTAAGATTAAAATATTTTCGATAAGATCAAACGAGAAAAGAGCAGTAATTAAACGATTATTAATAATGTAATATTATATTTATTTTGTATTAGTATTCCAATCATACATCATTACACTTAATTATAAACAATTTTCAATGTCGTTGAACTATAAGTAGTTTAAAATCTTAAACTGTCAAATTTTATCAAAATGAATTAATTTTCAAAATTTGTTTTTGGAATTTTATTTATAACACAAAATAGATACTATGAACTTGTAACTATAGAGCAAGGTGTCATTAATTTGTAATGTCAAAATACTTTGATATGCCAAGCCACTCGGAGAACACCGTGAGGGTAATAATTTTAGTGGATAATAGCTACCAACCTTAAAGAGTATTTCTTACATTACGAATATCTATAATTCAAAAAAAAATGTATTAAATTTAAATAATTGTAGAAAAATGTATTTTATACTATAATAGAACCAAGTTTTATAATGCTGTAATTTTTGAATTATTGCTTTATGGTGCAGAAAATATTTCAAAAAGTTTTACACAATGGATGAATTTTTATTTTATTAATAAGCTTAATTTAAAATTTAATGTTAACACTAATAATTAATAATAGTAAAACCAATATCAACTGAAGACAGTTTAGGTAGATTTGCAATTCTATATCGTTAAAATTTTAGTTATATAATCATACTTTCTTATTTTATAAGACTAAAAAAGTGCCAAACAATTGCTAAAAAACATTTTTAAAATGTGGCAATATTTTTTAAACTTATACTACAAATATATCTAAATGATTTTTTTTTACATCACATTTATGCAATTTAGGTTTGGATTTTAACATTTTAATTAAGTAATTATTATCACATTGAATTATAGTTTAGAATTATTTCCATGTTATTAGTCTTGCGATAATACATTTTAATATTTATTTGTCATTCATTAAGTTTTCATTAAACCTGACTGAAGTTCAAATAGTATGACATTATTAACATGAATACTCAATAACACTGAACAGAAGTTATATACCTTCAATCATATATTTAATTTGATATAATTAATAATAAATTCTACTACAATTATTCTTACCTTTGCTCCTGTAGACTGATTTACAAAACATGGCAAGCCAGAGTTTGGATCAGCTTTCATTATCCATCCTACAGGTGTTTCACTAATAAGTTTAACTTTTGTTTTTAATGATGGAGTGTTATCATTAGGTTCATATAATTCTTCATCCAATTCAGCTAATGGTGATGAACTTTGACTTCCCGAATTAATAGTTCCAGCACTACTAGGTCGACTTATTTTATTTTCCTATTGCAAGAAAAATAAAAATATAAAAAATGTTTGAGTAAAAGATCCAACTGCAAAATTAATAACATATGTCAATTACACGTTGTTTTGGAGAGGACCAGGTGCGTTCACAAGTTTTGGTATTGTAATAAAAAACTTTATTACCATCTTCAATGGAGTATTTATACCATGAACCAAACAAATATTCACCATGGTTCAGAGTACCATCCGGAATAGGCGGTGAAGTACTTCTTAATGGATATCTTTTAGAATATGAATCCACCTAAAAATAAATTATAATTATAGAAGATTCATACATAAAGACAATTCATAAAAAAAAAAAAAAAGCATAAATTAAATACTATTCGGGTCAATGAATTTAATGTTAAGTAAATAAAAAACTACAATGATTACTTAAATGAAACAGTTTGTAAGAGAAAATAATGGAACAGATTTTCATGGTTAATTAAATCCAGGTGAATATTGTTTTCCTGAGTTTTTTCACAGGCCAATCTATTAAACATGCAAAGAAAATTATATGTGAAAGTAGCAAAAATAAAATTGATTATGTTAAGTGAAAATAGACGATTGAATAATATATCTAACATCCCAATTTAAGAATATTTTCATCTAATTCAACTACTTTTTTAAGAATATTTAAATATATATAACTATAATTGTATATACAATGTATATGTGTATTAAAATAACAAGCAATAGTGCTTATTAAGTTAAGTTAGTTTTCTGATTAAAAATAAAAATTTTTCTTAGATTGTTAAAATTATGTTCTGTTAATGAACATATAAATATAAAAAAATTAAAGTAGGATATCAATACTTTATAATACTTATATATCATTAGATTATCTGATTATTTTACAACACACAAATTAATTATAGAATTTAAAAATTAAATATTTTAGCTTAAATTTTATATTTTAACCATATTCTCAGATATCATATATCAATATCACATAAAATATGGATTTGTTTAAAATATTAATATTAATACTTCTAAAATTGTGCTGTTGCATTTTTAGAAAAATAACATTAATGAAAATTTAAATAAGAACTATTATGATTTGTTCATGTAAATGTTTTCAAGTACTTTTATCACTAAATAAACAAATTACTCAACTGATAATATTATTATAAAATTACTTGCACACTCAGATACAAACTGTTAAGTGTGTATATAAATAAAAGATTAAGTAATTATATTAATCAAATTAGTATACAAATGCATGTATTAATATATCTACTTATATTTTAAAATAATGATGGAGGTTCATCAAACCATAAAATTGTTAGTAAAAAAATTAATATTTTCTTCGGATAATTAAAAATATACTATGTATGCTTTGAAGTTTAATAGTTATGATGTAAACTAATGTCTTGCAAAGTTTTGCTATCTTGATTATAATTTAACATTTTAAAGCAAAAATTAATTTTCAATAACTGTATTTTAATTTATAATTAATATTGAAACAAGCATTACTAGCACCAATTAATATTATATATCTATTTGATTAACTGTTTTTTTGTGTTTAATTTCAAATAAAATGCATTTTTTTTATAATTTTATTAATTAAAAAAAATTGAACTCTTACTCGACGATTTCTTGCTAAAGATGTTCGTTTTCTGGATCCATGCATTCTTAAAGAATCTTGATCACTATCAGTAATACCCAATGAATCACCATCTAATAAGCTATCTGTAGATCCACCTGTGAGATCTGCACTAGTACTATGGGCATCAGGTGTAGATGTTGATTTTGATACAATAGAATCACTCATCATCATTGATTCTTCATCATCTAGCTTATTTTCTTCAATAATATTTCCATTACTCATTATATTTTTAGCCCATTTGTCACGTTCATGTTTTGTTTTAAAGCTGCCAGAATAACAAAGTACATTTTTATTAATTTGTCCATTACTACTTATATCAGGCTTTTCAACGTCAATTGCATTTTTAACTGTAATATTAGAAGGCTTGCGAATATTTTCTAACAAGTTCTGAACCTTAGAATAACTTGTAATTGGAGAGCACTCATTAGTTGTATTTTTATTTAATGGCATTGATTTTAACTCAATTTCTTGAGCAAGTTCTTCTAAGGAGCTTGATAATTGTAATGAAACTTGCTCCTTAGTACTACATTTTTTAACATTCACTTGACAATAGCCAGTATTTTCTTGGTTAACGGTGACCACAGTTTTATTTTTTCGATTGGCCACAGGTGATAATATATTATTTTCATTTTGAATATCAACTCGTTTAATATCACTAATTACAGAATCGATGATGGAATCACTGACACTTACAACAGTTGTGTTTTCTAAAGGAATGTTTTCATAGGACGGAGTTGAAGGTTTTTCAAAAATAGTACGTTTTAGCACTTGTGGTTTTTCCATTTTAATTTTCTCCTCCCCCTTGGATAAACTAGGCCTGCTAGGCGCTCGTGGTATTTCTTTAACAAAAGTGGCTGGAACATAAAATGGTCGGCCTGAACTACGTATAACTTGCCACCAATCATCATTAGTTTTTTTCAATAAAAGTAGTTTCTCGCCTTCTTTAATTGATATATGCTTATTTTCTCTTGTCTTATATTCAAAATCATAAAGAACCCTAACCTTAATGTCGGCAATATCCATTGTGCCACAGTCATTGTAAATTTGACACCTAAAATTAAAAATCTCTTTAATACAATATTGATTACTATTATAACTATAACTACTTTTAAATGAACATTTATTTTAAGTCATAAAGTAAAGTAGAAAAGTTCCAATTTATTAAGTTATTAATTTAATCCCAATGTCAAAGTCAAATCCCATGGTTACAATAGTATATAGTATATAGTAATATGTATAGGTAATATATATATTGATATTATAATAAATTAAAATGAATAAGTTACGTTAGAATTAATATTTAACAAATATCTGAATTCAATATATTTAAGTAAAATAAAAAATTAAAAACAGTAAAAATGTCTGTTTAATATGAACATATTATATTAAAATTATAACTATTTTTATAAAATGTAATAGTAAATTCATTTATACTAAGATATACCACAGTAAATTACTTTTGTTATTTTTCTTAAAGCATATTATCCAAGTATTAAACTTTCAGATAAAAATTATTTTTATTTATTTTAAATCATTAATAGAAAAAAATATGTACAGATTTAGATTAATAATCATAAATTATAAAAATTAAAATAAACCAAACTATAATAATTTAAGTAAAAATATCAAAGAATAGTAAAATATAAGGTGAAATGTTTAAAGAATAAAAAATTTTGAATGTTTACTAATGGTAGGAATCTATACAACATAACTTTATATTGATTTATAATCATCTAAAAATTGACAAAATAGTTTTTTAAAAGAAAGAAAATGAATTTACATATATAAACATGAGGTGAACTATAATCTTTTATGATGTGAAACATAATAAAAGTATTTATTGTAAGTACAGAAAAAAAAATACAAACATGAGAGTAATGTTGCAAATGGCTGAATAATAAATCAATCAGTAGCTTGTATAGGACTTGTGAACTATATAAAGTACAGGTACAGTTGGTCATTCATAATAAGTAGGTGATTAGGTAAGACCACAAATTAAAATTTTATTCGAATATCACAGTAAAATGTATTGATACGCTATCTGGATAGGGCAAGAGTTAAGCTGTCAAATTCTTAATTTCTTAATTCACACCAAGAAGAGTTTGAAGTTTTTTTTTCTGATAGTTATGAATTTTACATGCTTAACCCGTAATAAAATGGTTCGTATTTTTTTTTAATTTAACTACATACACGTAAGATTATATCGACGACGATTGCAAATTAAGATAAAACGTAACTATATTTTAATTCATGACGAAAACTGTCGCAGGACCCAACCCCATCCGCTTACCATGCACCTCACTAACACGAAAAACGGTAGTTACACATAAAAAAAAAACCGATATCCGAACACGTAGTCGAAGGCCGAAATGAGTCTCAAAGCGTACGTAATGTGGAGACGTGAGCGTACTAGGTTATGGTTTATTGAAAAACGGGTGATAACACAGAGAGGTAGAGCGTACACACCTTGCTCCCTAGGTATAAAATATAATTTTATTATTTATTTATTATCTACAATATCCGCTCTTCAAAATACACACATAAATCTCAAATGTATTGTCTTACATTGAAGAATTATAACAATAAAATATCAATGTAGATACTTGCAATAATTGTACGTTTTTCCACTTACCAAAATGCCGTTCAAAAATCCCATTGGAAACGACCTTGGCCGTTGAAAACTGCCGAAACGCGTTGACAATCGAATAAGGTATTCGTCGAACAAATCGTTTAATATCGAGGGGAACGAAAAAAACTAAAAAACAGAAGAAGTCGAATGTAAAAGATAAATTATGAGTAAGTATTGCTCGACACCACCTATCGGGACCGGACGATTACGATGTGACTCACTGCAACGCGATTTATCGTTTCTAATCGACAGTTTGACATAAACTTATAATATAAATTTATTTATTTATTATTATTATTATTGTTGTTTTTGTTGTTATTCTGACCGTGACGGCGGTAGTGGTGGTAGTGGCGGCGGCAATCACGACGGTACGCGACGATGAACGACACGAGCTATTGCGTTACGACAGCGTCGGCCGATTACGCGGATTTTGCAATGTTCTTAGTCCGAATGTATTGCGCATATCGTTCTTAAGCGTAATGTCATGAAATATGTGACGACGGTGGCGATAGTGCAGTACGATTGAATATATTATCCGTAAGGCCTGTGGTTAACCGTGGAGGGGCAGGTTGCAGAGCAGTTGATATCATTTACTGCTAGAAGGCAAAACATATGATGCCACAACAATAACATACCTGAACATTTCTACCGTGATTCGGTCACCATATACCTTTACCGTTCATAACACGATGTGCTATAAATTGTGCATTATCAGAAAATGCTCTTATCAATTTTATAATAATAATAACAAAAACTTGCATGGTCCTCGCATTGAATTCTATATGATAACAAAAAGAGTTATAATATAGAGTTCGATGGGTACTCAAAACGACTTGTAACTACTACTGTGTACTGTCTATTTTCGTGATCTTATGACCATTATTTTGAATGGTTTTGTTCCTAATAAACAAATTGATTGTGCCACAAATAATTATTGTTCTTGATTTGTAGTTGCTGTTTGCTAATTAGGGAAAACATGGAACTCCAAGATACGTTCTACAGCAAGTTCGAATATGTTGAAACAGTAAATACTCCGCTATCTAATTGTATGTAACCCACTGTTAAATGATTCATCATAAATTAAATGCTTCCAGACTACAGGCAATAAAGTGAGTCGTCAAGCTCAAATTTATGGCTCCCAAAATATTATACTCAATGGAAAAGTCATTCTGCAGTCAGGAGTTATGATACGAGGTGATCTAGCCAGTGTTAAAATGGGACGATATTGTTTTGTTGGCCGAGGTTCAGTTGTGAGGCCACCATGCAAAAAATTCAGTGGAGGGTAATATTTTCTTTTTAATGCCAAATTTCATTATCATCCAATTTACTTTGAAGTTGAAACTTGTATCAAAACAATTTTATATAACATTTATTTTTAATAATTTTAATTTTATACTTCTTTCATTTGGTCTATTAAGTAAGTAAGTTATAGAACTGAAAAGCATAAAAACTACTGCTTACATATGATCTTATTTAATCAGCAATAATGTGTAAAAACTGAACAACTCAATACATACATCTTTCATATTGATTATTTTTTTTTTATAATACTAAATATTGAATATGCCTATGATTTGAAAATCAAATAATAATAAGAGAAATATAATTTAGATTGAAATAATTATAATAATTTGTTAATTAAAATAAACTGTATAATCTGATTTTTTTTATTAAATACAGATTACTATAAAAAAGAGGCATTTAAGTTCATATAAATGTGGTTCAAAAATATAAGTATAATATACCTGTTTTCAATATTTTGGAGAATGAAATATATTTAACCATATTAAAATTATAATTTGTATGAACCATTCAAATTCATTTAACAAGTTAGATTAATCAATTTTTGGGTTTCAAACTTTAAATGCTATATATCCATTCGCTGAAATAATGTGTATAATGATTAATGTCTTATAACTTAATACTGTTACAACAGTAATGTTATAAATAATAAAATATGTAGATAAATGTAGATAAACGAGATCTTAATCTTCATTATAAGTGTATTCCGTGATAAGTATATAGGTTTAGTTATAATTATGTTTTAGGAAAAATATGAATTATATATGATAAATACAATAATTGATTTGAGCATTATATTACTAAAGATAGTTTCAAGTCATTAAAAAATTATCTATTCCAATGGTCGGTAACCGACAGTCCACACATCTTTCTTATATGGCCCACATTATGTTTCAAAAGTATAAAATTTCATTGAATATCATATCAATTTTTTGTACTGTCTGGCCCGTGAATCCTTTTTAATTTATGATTGGGCCCAAAGGTCCAAAAAGATTGCCGACCACTGATCTATTCAATACAATGTATTTGGTATTTATATTTATATATTAGCTCATTTTAAAATGTACATTATAGATTTACTTATTTTGCTCTTCAAATTGGAGATCATGTTCATATAGGTGAACAAAGTGTTGTTCAAGCAGCTATCATTGGATCTTATGTTCATATAGGAAAAAATGTTGTTATTGTAAGTTAGGTTATAATTTTTATTATAATATTTTTATTTTTATTAATATTATTATACTTTTTATCTGTTTAGGGTAAAAGATGTATACTAAAAGATTGCTGCATGGTAGGAGATAACACAATACTTGCTCCTGATACCGTAGTCCCTTCATTTGCTTATTATTCTGGTTCCCCAGGCATGCAAATCGGTCAACTACCAGTTTGTACTCAAGATTTATCAATTGACTATACAAAGTCATTTTATGATCACTTTGTTCCATCTATTGATAATTTATAAGTTTCTAAGTTATTACATTTTTTTTTAACACAGCTTCCTTTAATTTAAAACTTGTACAAAATAAATCATAATATATATATTTTAATATTGTTGTATACTATTAAAATTTTGTACAAGTTGAATTTTTCTGATCTTCATTTTTAAAATCTTTAAAAATCTGGGATGGTAACATGTATTCCAACAACATGTTATTTTCAGCTGGTAATCCCAAACATGCTCTGAGTATATTTTCAATACATGCTCGCTGACGGAATAAAGAATTAACTACTGGAGCTCCTATAAGAGAATAAATAATGATTTATCATAATTAATTAAATTAAATAATTATTAACCTTTTGGTACAATAGGTGCTTTGAGTAAGTATGATAAGACAGAAAATACTGGATGCAATGGTGTATAATCTGATTTATCGGATCCAATCTCAATTCTGTTAAATACTTCAGCCAATATAAGTAAATCCAATATAAGTGGAGCTGCTAGTAATGAATCTTCACATGTGTTATGTATGACTAATGTATTTGTTCCATTCAAGAATATTTCTGATGTATACTCATCTAATGCTCGTTTGGAATCTCCAACATATGGTACATATTTAATAACAATACAATGATCTGGTTTTTCATGAGTTTTGTAAAGTATATTATTTGACTGAACCATATCATCTACAACACTACTTTTAGAAATTTCTTTGGAGCGAAATTGTTGAGGTGCTGACAAATTATAACCATCATTGTTTCCTAAATGGTTATAGCTCACTATGGATACTGGTTTAATACCAGCGGTAACTAAAAAGTCTACAAGAACAGACTTCAGTTTAGTTTGTCCAGATTTGAAATCATCCCCAGCTATATGTACACCTCTTTTTTCAGCTAATTCTATCACACCTTTTATGAATGTGTTTGATGGTGATCCATTTATGTAAGTACACTGAAATGTTTTAAATAAATTAAGAGGTGATCATATTTAGAACTAAAAATCAAAAACTTACTCCTTCCAAAATTGATGCCACAGCAAATAAAGTTGATGGTGATATTTCTGTACTATTGTTACAAATTGATCTAAAAAGATTATCTGATGTATCATTAAAACCTTCAATTTCTTCACTAAATCGTTCTGTATTAGCTGTCCATAATACAACCACCTGGTCCAATTCTTTATTTTTTTTAAAATCTCTTATATCTTTTCTGATTTGATCTAAAGCTTCTGATTTTTTTTCAGCTTTAATTATATTATCAGCACGATATGACTGATTAGCTGCTATGAAGTCTGGAATGTAAATCGATGGTCGTGGCTTGATCTCTGACATGTGTTTCATTAATTTTCTTTGCAAATCAATATTCAATACCTACGTTTAAAACATCCTTTAAATGAAAAAAGGGTGAAACCGATAGGCCAGGTAAAATACAGATATAAGTGAATGATATTAGTCTTTTAAATTTGAAACCAATTTAGCATTGCTCTCGACAAACGATTTTGAGTGACAGATCTCGTGTGGATCAATTTCAATTTCTAAAAATATTTTATATAATAGAAGAACCAAATATCTGAATAAGGTAAGATTGACAATAAAAAAAATTTCTTAACTTTTGAGAAAAATAAAGGCATCTAAAATTTGGGAAAATCAAAATTTCTTTATAACATCATGAATTTCAATAATTAATTTTGATACTATAATAAGTCTTTAAACTAAATAATTAATATAATTTAAAGAAAATTCGTTGAAATAATCAAATTTGTCAAAAATTAATTTTGTAACTATTTTAAAACATTTTTGCTATTTTCCAGTATTTTTTTTTTTTTTTTGACAAAAAATAAAATAAAACATTGCCTAAATGATGTAGCGGATTTACGTCAATTTCATCGTTGAGTAACAATTTAAAATTAAAACACTTATGAACAATTTTTTTAAATTAAAATTAATTGTTTTAATAATTAGTTATGTACACATGGAGAATTTTATATTAAATTTTCAAAAAATGTTATTTAACCAAAATTATTTTATTGATATTTTCAAAAAGAACCTAAGAAAACATAAAAATTTCAATTTTATATTAATAGTTCAAAAAAACTTTTAAAATTGTACCATCCATAAAAAACACGGTGATACAAACAAGCCATGTAAATTTCAAATTTTTACTTAAATATTTTTGGAATTCAATGAAAACAAAAATTAGATTTAGGTAGTCGAAAATCAGTATGTCGCAAATGTTATCAGTTTTTAGAAATTATTTAGAAAGCTGTCGGGAAATTCGTATACCTACTAACTATCTCAAAGTAACCACTATTCCATCTTTCACATTTTATTTAGTGATGAACAGAGAAATCCTTCTGGTCGAAATTGTATATATAAACATAAAAAAAACCCTCATCATGGTAAAACCTATATATTCCTCGTTTCTTTCAGAATCTAAAATCAAATATTTAATTTATAACTCTTACTTTTGATCTTTTCATAGCTTGACTCAAGTCCAAGGATGAAATATCCCAACCATCAATTTCTATGTCATTGGGATTAATCATAGGTACTAAGCTTTTTAGAGGTACGTATACATCCTTGCCATTTGCATCCATACCAACACGGATTGTAGATGATTGTGTTATTGAACCATACCAATTTGGAGACTTGACACCCTCTTTAGTTTCCCATGTATAACCGAATTTATTTGCCAAAATGCCAGCAGTCAAGGTAGTACCGTTGTTGCCGCCTAAGCCAATCATCATTAATCCAGTTTTTGGTACCGTTTTCTTTGTTCGAATCTTTATTTTCGTGACTGTGGGCTTTATCTAGACAAAACAAAGAAATATATTTTTTAATCTTTATTGATTTTAATGAGAATACACAAACATTAAGTAGATAATGAGTAATAAGAAAGGAAATTCAGATGTGTATTTGTTGAATTTGACAAACAAACAGTATTAAATTTAACTGTAAATCATGTTACTGGCTTTATTAATTAAGTATATTACTTGTGTGTAAACTTATTTGAATTATTAAAACGTAAGATTATGGTTTTTGAAAAATAATTAATTTTATTACTGTTTTCATACAAATTTAATTACGAAGATCTCCAAATTATATTTGTCACTTTAATTGTCATAAGTACTAGTTTAACTAGTTTAAATAAAATACAATAAACCTATTTAATATTAGTATTATGATTGAGTATAATGTACATTTACTATACCTAAATTTCTTGATATGATATTAAAGTGACTGGAACCCAAACGAAAAAGACTGGTTTCGAACCGAAACCTTATCCAAAACCCACAAAAGCGTTTATGAAGAAATCGAAGTTGACACAGAAATTTTAATTTAAATGGTTTTACGGTTTTTTTTCTGATATTAAAATTGAAAAATATATTATAATATTATATATTTAACTTTACTGACAACTATAAATGACATAAAATTCCCAGTAATAAAACAGAAATTGAATATTATTAGTTCAAAATAGGGGCATCGTTATATCATAAACTACTAAAGACCTGCACGGGCCAAGTTTACCCAAATCGGCCCGGACGGGCTTTGGGCCAAGCCAGATTCTATAAAATGACAAGACAGAACGGGCCGGACCTCTATTAGGTATTAGGACAAAAGTTATGGGACCTGACCCGGTCATTTTTTGAACAAAAGTTACGGGTCGGGCCAGTTTAGACCCAAAACTCCCCTTTATCTACACTACTGGAAGTTAGTTAAAGTAAATAAAGGCATTATAATTTAAACGTTACAATATTTATTTAAAAAAATTATCCTCAGTCGAGTTCAATACTTAAGATTATATTTATAGCTAAGTTAATAAATAGTGATAGGTTGAATTGTCATAAATAATAAATCGATTATGTAATCGAACGGAAACTTTTTAATGATTAGTGAACCAACCAAATTATTTTGAAAGTGTATCAAATGATTAGGATTAAGAAATATGAAAGCAAATAATTGTTATTATCTATTTTTACTAGAACTATCATTTTACTTTTTTTTTAATTAATATACAATAAATAAATAAAATATATGATTATTTTAATTTTTAATTAATTTTAATTTCATTTAATATAAGCCATAAAAAAGTTCCTGGAGACTCAAATATACTATAGTTAAAGAGACTATTTAAATTATTAAATTAGTATATGATATTAATGATCACCAGGGCTCATAATTTATAGCATTTACATTTTTTTTTTTTTTTTTTGAGAGAGGTCTTAGAAATACCTATGTGAGGTTTACATTTGTTTTATATAACTAAGAAGTTAAATACGAAATTTTATGTTGCATATTTTTGCATATTTCAAAGTATAAATGCTATTTTGCTTTTTTAAGTTTTTTTCAATTCTGTAGCGTTTAAAATATTTTTTCTTAATAATAATAAGTAATTATGGTAGTATTAATTTTTATATTTTTAATTAATTAATGTTAATTAACTAATTCTTCTTTTTATGGTTAAAAATAATATATTTATTTGTATCATACAGCGACGCGATCAGAATTTTAATAATAAAAGTTAATTTTTTTTTTTTACATGATACGTGTTTTTTAATAATGAGTGAAAATTTTTTTTTTTTAATAATAAATGAAAATTGCTTAATTTTCATGTTATATTTATTTTTGCATTTTTTTGTATTTTTAGTGCATATTTAAGCGCTTATATGAACATTTTTAAGAGCATATTATAGAGCTTATAACTACATTTTTTAGAGCTATAAGTTATGATCCTTAATAATCACCTATATGTTGTAATAATTAAAAAAAAAAATGTTTAAGCCTAAAGTTAATAAAAAAAATTTTTTTTTAATTTATAATTGGTTTGTTGATCAAATAATCTCAGAATTCCATAGACTTAAGAATTTAATCAAGCTATTTTTAATTATAGCTTAAAATACACACACTTCGATTGTTTTTCGTATTTTAAATTGTTTAGTCATTTTTTTATTTAAAATAATTTTTGACAGCATGTAGGAATCACAATTACGTTTATTAGTTTACAATATTAAGTTAAAGTACCAATATACAGATTGCTTTAGTATTTTTTGTTGATGTTATGAAAGAATATTTGACTATTTATTTACTTCCAGCGGATATTTTATACTATTTACTTCATCTGTGTCTATAATAAAATAGGTCGTATTCTTTGGGAATATACCTAATACTTATATTGAGCAGGTTATGTATAATATTGTTATTATTATAGTTTTGAAAAGTATTTATATAGATACACTGGTATGTTTTAATTAATTTTTACAAAATATATTCGAATTTATATTATAAATAATATAATTTTGAAAATATTAAAAAAAAATCCTGAAGCAAATTGCTATGTAGTTCTAACAATTTATATGAATTAGAAATCGATACAAAAACTATTAAATTATAATTTAGACTGTCAATTAATCAATAGTCGTCCTATTGCTGTCATCGTTATAATTGTCAAATTGACTATTTATTTATGTTAAATATAGGTACGCCTTATAGCTTTCTGAAAAATATAGTAATCAAATAATATACTTTAAAACCGTATATAATTATATAAAATAATAACAATATAAGAGTATAGAAAAAATAGAAAGTGGGAAGGCTCAAGTTTGCTATTTACATGCGATAGAATAGTTGGTTGTTAGCATAATTATAATGAGATATTAGGATGTATAAAAAGACAGAACAAGGTGAGAAATGAAAAAGAGTCTTTAAAATTATATTGGGATATAAAGTAGGGAGATCGAATTTTGCATTTTATCATTGAGTTTATTCAATGGCTTATTTTCAGTAGAAAGATTAAATTTGTTATATACCTACGGTCAGTTATAGAAATTAGACTTAAATATGTATGTCAAATCAAGAATGTAATCGTGATAAGGATTCAAAATCAATGTTCAGTATGAAGCTGATGAACTTCAATAAATTTCTTTTGAACTCTTTTGAGTTGACAAGAGTTCGCATTTGGATCTTGATCCTAGAGGATCGAACCATATTTTAATATTAGCCTGATACGGTATAATGTAATTTAGTGGACTGATGTATAATAACGGTATAAGTCACATTTAATAAAACACAATAAATTCAGACAATTTACCACAATTGTGTTGCCTTGATCCATGGCGTAGTTTACAGGATAATCGACGGTGGACTCGATGTACTCATCAGAGTACTTAACGTTCGGGCTGTCTACCTGCAGGACAACCGCCGCCCCGGTGTCTCCATCAGAACCTCCACAAACAGTCGACGCCATGTAAAACGGAACAGATATTGTATACGATTATAAATTAATTTACTGGCGACAGTGTGAGCGTATTGAAAGGAAGCAACGATGTCGAAATGGCAAATATGGTAAATATTTCGCAAAAGTCCGTCTGTTTGTCTTTGGTTATATTTGAGTTTTTTTTTCTTTTTATTCACCGTGAACAGCAGTGAGACGACCGACTTTAGAAACCAGAGATCGAAGAGTGAGCCAGTGATCAGTGCTGTGGCGTAACAGACGACAATGATGAGTAATCGGAGGTGGCGGCGGTGAAATTGGTGTCCACGGATTCGCGGTCCGAGGCAGCAAGACGGATTATTATTTATAATATGAGCGACGTGCGAAGAAGCGGGGGAAGTTGGATAGAGCGTCCCTGGACCTTAATTTAGTGGTGGGACGATTTAAAATAATATTTAATTCAATATAATGTACTTTATTATTATAATTAAGTGTTTAAATAAAAACAAATGTTTCTGTTTATTTTCCAACTAATTATGATTCTTTTGTTAAAAATGTTTAATCGAATCAATGTACATGGTCTGTATTATAATTATTTTTTTAAGCACAAAAGCGATCAATGTATGATGAATGATAATATATTGAATAAAATACGGACTATTTATTACAACTACTCATTTCACAATTGGACCATAAAAATGATAATTCCTCATTTTATGACAAGTTATTAAATACAATATAATAATATTAAATACTGTGAATAGTTATAGACATGTAAAACGTCTTCAGTTGTTCACTTATTATGTTTTATAACAATAAAATATATTTCATGTAATTTTTTAAAAATAATTTAAAATAATCTGAGTAAAATAAGTGTGAGGATATGTAGCTACTTGGGGTAAAGATTTTAAATCTTCAAATTCGCCTAAAAATGAATTTGAACATGTATGTTTATTTTTCGCGCAATTGAAAAATGTAAAAAATCTTAGATCTATGCTTAAATTTAGTATGGAAAATTATGGTGGTATTTTTTAACATATTATACATATATTATAATTTTTTAAAATTTTAAATCCCCGTTTTTTATGAGCAATAAACTGTCGTTTAGTCGTAACACAATTTGTATGTAAACTAATGTTAATATATATTTACATTTTTAATTATGTGTAAGTACCATGTTGCATATTTTTAGTTATAAATAATAATCTTTGTTCATTATATTATTCGTTAGTGACAAGTGTTGATGAAAAATGTGTTCATTGTTATTAATAATAATCGATCTGAAAAAATTTACTGATATTAGATAATTTTATTTGTTTAAAAACAGTGAGTCTACCGAGTCTTAAGGTATTTCGTGCTTATTATCATCATGGTAGTAAACAAGCTTACCATATGGTATTACTCATAGATTTTTCTGGTGCACACGAATTGCGTCCTGAAATTACTTTTCCATATTAATTGCGTCCCTGATTTTCTAAACAACTACACGATTTGCGTTTCAAAATAAAAATATCATTTTATTTCCCATTTTATACAGATTTAAGACTGTCAATAGCATACCAAGGTAGGTTGCAAATATTGTTTTTTATCGTTGTTATGCAATTAGATACGATTAGATGCAATTCAATTATATTAATTTATTATTATAATTATATTAAAAATTTAAATTTAGATTTAAAAAATTATATGAATGATGAAAAATTGAACGATAACTTTTTATTAAAATCGAAACGAGTTAATTGGCCATTTTCATATTTCTCGTGTAGTCATTTAGACAAAGCCTCACGCAATTCGTATGCAAGCGATTTTTCATATGCGACTTGACACTATCGTTAACTTGTTAAATGTTAAGTCAAGTTCGAGAAATTCACATCATATGCATGGTATTTAGATATATAGTATTATAATTAATAGTATTTATTAGTCCCTCATGGACTTATTATATAGAACATTTGTGCCACGTCAACGAGCACTGAACTGAATAAAAAATACGTATTAGTGTATTACTTCTTAAGCTATTTCATATAAGGATTCGCTTATTGTTTATAATATATTGGTTAATTTGAGATGCACTCATAGCTGTTACATTAACACTAAAATATATTTTCAGTGTAATGAACACTTCCATCGACTTTTTCATTAAGAACGAGGTAGATATAAAGGATAGATCCCCATCAACTTCTTATTTTGATCAAAAATCCAGAAAAATTGATATTTTGCTTTAGATTTGCTAATGTAAATATAAATTATATATATAACTAGCTGAATTACCCGTCGTTGCCGGGTTTAAGTATATAAATGTATGTAACGTGCCAAGATTAAATTTTGTTAAATCTATTGAAATTTAAATTAATTAAGATTTTTGAAATAATATTTTATACATATTAATTTAGTTATTATCATAACCTATTCGATAAGTTATAGCTTACAACTACCTGAACCTCTCTACTGTTTGGTATTCTGTTGAATACATATAGCATTTCACTTCTCCGAATATTTTACCTTTTGTCAATAAGTTCATGGTCTTTTTGACTTTTAACCGAAACACTCTTGCAATTATATCATGTCGATCATATGATCTTTGACCGGGAAGTAAGAGCTCTTTTATCTCGTCCCAGCGAGGATTACATGTAAAAGTAATAAAAAGGTCAGGACGACCGTAATGTCTAACGTAGGTCATAGCATTTTGTGTTCTTTCGTGCATGTACCTTGGTCCACCAGTAAAAGTTGACGGGAGAATAACCATTTGGCCTAACTGATTAGCTTCTATGTCTCGTCGTCCAATCGCATCTTTTAAATCAATATAACTATCTGCACGTAATTTGGCTTGGTTGTTTTTGATGTAATTTAGTCTTTCAGTTTCAATTTTGGCGTATTCATTTACCAAATATTGACTGAAAAGAGAACGATAATTAACTAAATAGTGGTCTTCTCCTTATCTGACCATTATTCTATATTAGTGAAAACTTGATGCAGAGACAGTTTTTTTAAGCGGTAACTTGGTTTTTGGATCGCGTTGTGGTATATTGATTACATACCCATCATCCCTCCCCCCAACAAAACATTAAAGGATACTGCAGTGCGTCGTATGCTCGATGTATCTCACTGATACGGTGAAGCGAGTTACTTCGGTTTTCGAGGATGATGTCTCTTCGATCAAACTGCTGATCTACTAACACTAAAGCAACTTCATTTGCCGTTGGTGCATTATACCTGCCTCTATGTTCTTCTGGTGGTTTTTTATCTGCATGTATTACAACTTTAAATGACTCTGAAGGAGGTATTTTATCGATGGTAAATTGTAATGATCAATTGTAAATTATGCGGTGGCATGCCTAGTAAATCCAATGAGTTTAAAAACTCTGTTGGATAATTTACAACTTCAGTAGCATCGCAAACTGTAACTAAATTTGTATGACACCAAGTTTTCTGGTAACAAATTTTGTATCTTGAGATTCAATTCGTTGACCTCCACATTTTTTGCTATTAAAATTGCTCTTTCTGCCAGCCACTCGTGATTTGTGTATTGTCTGTGTATACTGGGACATATCTGGTCAATGAGAGCATCTTGCGAATAAATGATTGTGCAGAAATCGTTCGGTAATTTTATACATCCCGTTTCATCTGTAGTAACTTTTCCCATCTCCAATATCTAACAATTGTTTTGAGAATCTTTTGCACGCAGCTTTTTTTGATTGAATCGAAATCGAAGTATCGAAATCGTTCGCTATCTATCTTTATATATATTTCGACCATGAATTGTTGACAAAGCTTATGCATCGTAAAATAACTTAGTCCTGATCGCGTCTAATCATCAACCGATATGCATAATTTTTTGAACTAACATTCTTATTTGTTTTGGCACCTGTTGCGGGATCTTTTTGTTTAATATTTACGCAATACCCGTCATTTACTACCAAAAATAAAATTAATAGTTTTTAAATAGTTTTTAATAGTTTTTTAATAATTTTTTAATAGTTTTATTTAATATTATCGACCTGGTCAAAAAATATTAAACCGATTTCAACCCTTTAAATTCAAAATTTCGAAAAATCCTTTCTTAGCGCACGTCTACATCATAATAGCTATCTGTATGCCAAATATCAGCCAGATCCGTCCAATGGTTTGAGCTGTGCGTTGATAGCAGTCAATCAGCTTACTGTTTTATATATACAGATATATATATATATATTAAATTCATCATTTTTATTATAGTTTAAATAATTACATGAACTGAGGAAATATGTTATATTGTAGTATACAGAGTTTGTGCAGTGGCGGATTTAGCGTTTTGGCGCACCTAGGCTTAATCACTCTGCCCCTCCCCCCCTATCACTCTACTAAGGAACCAACAATATTTGATCTAAACCCTTCTCTTCGAATTTTATTCAGTTTTTTTATCAAAAAAAAAAATTTTTATATTAAATATTAAATCTTTAAAATAGAAAACTTCTAAAAATAAAATATTTCATATCTATTATTTTATTTCAGATACCATTATTATCAGTACAAATAAACAATGCTTATACAGTCATATAACGGAAATATAAATAGCCAGATATGAAAATACCTATACTTGGATAATCGGATGTTCCCAATAAATACATAAGTACTAATAAGTTATTAATAATAACTAGTAACTAACTGTAATTATATTATTACAAATGAAATATTTTCAAATTGTAATAATAATTGAAGTATTATTACTATAGCCTATAGGTACGCATCATACAATGTACATATTAATATATTGTTATAACTTTTTAAAATTATTTTTATTCGTGTTTATATAACAAATATAAAAAAAAATATACTAAAAAAAAATATACCTAATAAGTCAATAATAACCCTTAATTCTATAAAACAAAAAAGTCGCCCTCCCAAAAAAGCCACCCTAGGCTATAAACCTTTTAGCCTGCCCCTCAATCCGCCACTGAGTTGGTGGAGATAAATGTCAAAGCCCTCCGTGGCGTATTTTACAACTATTTATTTTTGTTCCCCTCTATTAAAATAACCATTGGACTAATAAAATTATGGGACTTCTAATTTCTAAATCCAATCTGATTCCATACCAAAACTGACATCTTATTTATTTGAACATTTAAAAATATTTTTTTTTGGTCGATAACTTAAAAAAAATTCAAATTCTATGCCAAAAATTTACAATTATTATAAACATAAGCGTGCGCAGATCTTGCTGGCAGGGGGGATGGGGGCAGAATGTAATTATGTATATATTATATAGCAGGGGTGGCAAATTATTTGAACGCTATGTGCCAAAAATTACTTTTTTTTTTTTCAAGCGTGTTATGAAAAATATTAATTTATATATGTATTATATTTAATATTGTAAGAAAAAAATTATTGTACAATTAATGTATTAATATAAAAAATGTTAGGTTAGTTACATAATATAATAATATTACTTTGTTAACGATTTTCTTGATGTAATTTTTTTTATTGAATGCTTGATGCCAATTCGTTGATATTTGGCGTATAACTGGTAACTTTTAATAAAGTACACGCGGCACTGCATTCATCAGTTAGTCGATATCTTAAATCAGATTTTATAAGAATAATTTCTGAAAATAGTGACTCACATGAATAAGTTGAAAAAAAAATAGACAAAACAGCTCACGCTACTATTTTTAAAATGGAATAATCTTGTTGAATGACATTCCACACTTTCAAAATCTTGTTCCCTATGTTAATCAATTTGCCTATTGCCTCATTATGCTAAATTTTTTCCAATTCATTTTTCAGTATAACAACTTTTTCATTCAATATAGTACTTGACTGAAAATCTACAAGTTGCATTTCAAAATCATCTAAATTCAACCATTCAAACACTTTTAAGTTAAGTTTTTCAAATGACAATGAGTTTGAATAAATAATAATTTACACAGTTTCTTCGAATTCTTTAAACTGAGTTAAGCGTGTAGATAACTCATTAATAGCTGTCTCAATAATATTTGAAAATGTTTGGATAAGATGGTGAATATCAGGTTTTTTTTAAAATTTTCAATTCAGAAATAAACTTTTTAAGGTTAGGAAAATATTTGAATTTTTTTTTTATTATGTCACCGTTAAATACTCTTAAATTTACCTGAAATGCTTGGATCATATCATACATATTAGTAATTATTTTATTATTATTTTGTAGTTTAATATTCAATTCATTTAAATGCTGGACGAAATTTGCAAAGAAAATCAATCTGGCTATCCATTGCAAGCAGAGCCGGATTTAGGGGGGGACGAACCGGGGCATTTGCCCTGAAAGTTTTGGTCGGGGGGCGCCAAATTTCAAAATAAGTTGTGTATATATATATTAATAGTTTTTATTCATTTTATAATAAAAATATTATACAAATTACAATTTCTATTTCCATTTGACTTTATGGTTATAACAACAATGGGAAAAACTCAAAAACCCCATGGATATTATTTGTCTACTAAATATATTTTCTGCAACTCATTGTAGTATATTTTATTGCTAATAGGATATCTACAAACTATAAATTATGATAATCAGACAACACATGATGTTAAAACCCGATTAACAATACTGATAAGTTAATTTTTCTTCGACATATAACAATTATCAAATTCAATCGAAAATCAAGTTGCCAAAAATTTAGATTACAATGATATAATTAACGATTTTTCTGCCAGAAAAACAAGAAATATCAAAATTTAATGATAATTTGTTTGATTATTGTATAATGATTATTTTCATGTATTAGTTTGTAATAATTTGTATTTAAAGTTTTTTACTTAATACACATTTTTTTTAATCTAGCAAATAGATATATTTTTCTTTTATTCTCTTCAATTTTTTTCTTTAGAGTTTAACTGGTACATTAGTATAATTGTGGGCATAAAAAAGGGAGAGGGCGCTAATTTTATAATTTGCCCCGGGTAAAAAATATACTAGATCCGGCACTGATTGCAAATCAGAAATCTTCATATATTCGATTTTGCTCATTCAAAAACACCTTAATTTCGTTAAAGCATTCAATAAAAATTTGAAGAATTTTGCCATAACTAAGCCAGCGAACAATATTAAACATAACTAAACCTCTATATACTGAATTTACTTATTTTATTAGATTTTAAAATTGTCTTTTATTCAAACCACGCGGAGTAATGAAATTCAATATTTTAGTAATGAGATTTATTACAGCGTCAAATGATTTGAAAGTATTTTTTTTGCACACAATACCTCCTAATGTATAATACAGCGAAAGTCTAGCAGGAGATGTCCCACATATTTAGTAAATAAATTAATAAACCCTAATTCTTTATCAGTCATTCTAGGTGTGCCATCAGTAGTAACAGAAACAATCCTTGAAAAATCCACATTTGCCTCAGAAAGAATATTTACAATTGCTTTGCAAATATCAGTACCTTTTTTTTTTGTTTCTTGCAATAAGACTAATTTAACTAATTCTTCTTTAATTGAATTACTAAAAAAATATCTAATAAATATAGATAATCGAGCTGAACTAGTAATGTCTGTGGTCTCTTTAATTTTTCATAGTTTCCAGTGTCGTTTTCAATGATACAATTAACTGTACTACTGTTAACAAATTAATATCAGATTTTTACAGACATGCACTTTTAATATTGAAAATAATATAGACACCAACATTTTCAATGTGAAAACAAACTCAAATGTTTTCATTTGGTAAATAATACCCAAATCTTTAGCACGAATATCAGCTTGTCTAGTGGATTCTGAGATTTCATTAATAGTAGTAAGTAGAGCTGAATAATTTACTTTGACCATACTAATGATTTCATAGCGGCTAGACCATCGTGTAGTAGAAACCGGCTTCAAAGTTATTATTTTAAGTTGACTGAATTGGCAATATTCTCTAATAATGCATGTCTAATGCAGCTGCTTTAAATAAAATTATAAATGAGCTGGATATTTCCAAAAAAAATCAAACGTCGTTCGATTGTTTCTCCCAACAGAATCGACTAGAACGAGAATCAAGCAATGTCCATGACGTGGACAGCGCGGCGACCGTTATCACAACGGCCGTCGACGACCGCGTCTATTTTTCCAATCAGTCACCAGACTGCAGATCGTACAGTCATCACGACACCCGGTTTCCGATCCATCATAGGAGGGAGACCTAGAACAGTCGCGAGGACGTCGGACACGCACCACCACCGAGTCCGTCGGTGTATGTGAAAACGTGTCTGGAAAACCATGATCTGGAGGCATGGACCGTCCACCAGAAACCATTATTTTTATCAGTTATGTTTTGTGTATCGATTGTATTAATTCACGTAACTCACGAAAGTACCCATGTTTATCACCATAATATACACCGTTATACTGTCGGACATCATGGCTATTTCATTTTCATCATATTATGTCGGATTGTGCATTCTACATCGGACGCGCTCCCCAACATCCATAGCAATGAACAAAAAATGTGTTAAAGTTTTTCTCTTTTAATTTTGGCTAAACACCGTTTGTACACCCTTACATAGTTTATACTCCATCAAAATAAACGACAACTATATTTTCTCATTTAATACTATATTCTTGAATAATATCATGTAATTAACTAAAAATACTCTGTGCATCTATAGATGTCATTCGTTTTAAATAAATAAATTGTTCTACAGGACAATTTGTATTTTTGTTAAAATAACGTATCACAATGGACAATTGCTCGTGGTGGTCTATATCATTGGTCTTGTCTTCTATCAAAGATACATTTTCATTAAGAATTGCATATTTTAATTGTATTTTGATAACCTGGTCATAGGCGTGCGCAGACTTTATTCGCAGGTTATGCAATAAGAAATATAGGGCTCCTCACAAATAAATTTTCTAATCTTCCCTTAATTTATTTGCATTTTCTTTTAACGCATATGAGATTCAAGTTACAATCTAAGTTTTTGCATATATACTACTTAGCTTCTTTACTTCCCTTAGAATCTAAAATCACACATAGTTTTACAGTAGAATATTAAACAATGCACTGTAGAAATAAGTAGTTTGAAATTTGATTTATATTTATTAAAAAATAATTTATTATTTATTTAAGATCAAGTATGTACTATATTGAATGCTTTTGAATAATTTTAACATATTTATAATGTTGTTATTTTATGGAGAGTACGTAAAATCTAAAGTTCAAGTCTTCTTTTTATCGGCACACATGCTTTGAATTCATCTATTACATCTTCAATATTGATTTCTGATGCCATCTTTTGCTCGATAAATATTAACATCAGTGAATCAAGACGTTCTTGTAACATAGTGTTTCTAAGTTTAGACTTTACAATAAACAATTTGGAAAAGTCCCTTTCACACGAGCAGCTTGTCACAGGTATTGTTGCAAATTGTGTTAAAGCTTTATTGAAGTTTGAAAATATTATTTTCCGGTCGTTTTCTGATAACCAATTCAGCCATACTACAATGTTTTAGTTGATGACCCTCTAATAGAAGTTCTATCAGACATATTTGTAATGAGCTTAATTTCAGACTCAAATGTAGTATTCACATTAAATTTTTCTTTCAACATTGAAATATCATTACTATCAAGCTTTAATTGATTTAAATTTCCTGTGGTAGTAATTAAATTTAAAGTTTCTTAACTTAATAATAAATATGGGCCCCTCACATGAAGCCGCAGACTATGCAGCGGCATACCCTGCATACCCCGTGCGCACGCCTATGAACCTGGTTAATAGATGAAATTAGATCGTTCTGTAATGGTTGCTTACATTTTTTTGGTTAAATGTTCAATAAAAATTGAATCATATTTAAAAAAGGTAAATTATATCTAAGAATAAACCTTTATAAACATTATTTTTACTTTCTATATGTTCTCTGAATGGTTTACCACTAATATCTAAACAAATCGTAGTATCAATTAATCGTCTTATAATCTCCCTATTTTTTTGTCGAGTTAACACATTCACACTGTTAATATTTTTTCTTTGGTCATCTATAACTTCATCAATAGATTTTGAATTTAAAAAAATTGCTAATAATGTTGTTAATAACTATTTAAATGATTTTTGGATTTTTTGTGAGCACTGAATTTGGAGGTTAATTAATTTGGTCTTAATTTGGAGTTTGGAGGTAGAGGTTTTCCAATTTTTAAATCTGACTTTAGAATATACTAATTCTGATTGTCCAACATTAGGTCCCATTGATCCGCCAAACATCCGAAAAGGGAAGCGAAACGCTAAATCTTCCTTTGGGCTGTACTCTAATCAAGTAAACTGTTAGTACTATGATTTTTGAAAACTATGTTTGACACCACTAAACATGGTTCTTGGGAAAATTTCCATTACAGGTTAAAATGGGCCTTTTAAAAGTCTTAGTCTGAATTCAATCTGATTTTTAGGATCATCGGGATGTATATCAGGTACTATTTTATTAAGACTTATGGGCGATGGGTATAGGTGATAGTTAATTTTTAAAAATTTGTACTTAGTAAAAAATTAAAAATAATAATAAAACTGCATAAAATAAAGTTAGATTTGAATAAAAATATATAAGATATATTTAATAATATACCAGTATATAAGTATTTTGATATGATTAGAACAGGCACTGGGTCTGGTGAGTCATCTGGGTTATTAAAAACTGCTTTATCTGATACATTTATATCTATAAATAAATAGTTTATTAGAATATATGTATTTTAGTAGGTACCTAATGTAAATTTGTATTTATCTATTCAAAGATTTAATAAAAAAAACTAATGAATGTTCGAATAACAAATTAAAAACTTAATAATTCACAAAACTATTATAATATTAGGTTCCTACCTACTACCTACCTACCATATTTTATTATTATGTATATTATACAATGTTCCTGACATAAGAGCCATTAAATAATAATAAATAAATAAATAAACTTACCAAAGAAAATTTTCTTATGACCATGTTTCACATTTTAACAAACACAATTTATTATTTATGCATAAATATTCACAAACGAAAAAGTCATGTTAACGTAATTAAAAACAAATCAGAAAAATTGATTGTATAATATATTGGCGCGGTTTTGTCTGAATTATCCATAGACCTTATATAGAAAAAGGTCTATGAAATTATCTTGAAACCACAGTGATAACTGATACTGATTGCCGCCTATCTATATACAGTACTAGCTTAATTACCCGGCTTCGCACGGAACATTCTTGGCCGTGACATAGGTTTTATTACTTTACACTATTTAAAGCCAAGTTCGGTATAACTATTGGTGGTTATAAAACAAATAAAATGAAAGTTCAAATGAATCAGTATAGTAATTTTGGTGATACCTTTGAATTACCGTATTTGCTGGTTCCAATATTTTTTTAAAATCCCTTCTTATTGCACGTTTTGTATATAGGAGAGACCACCATGTCAGATTTCAAGTTCATATAGTTTTGAGATGTAACGATGATCAATAAGTGAGTTATACCTGACGTTGTCCGTTGAGAAAATTTTGAGTATTCAATTCTTTTTGGGTATTACCGTTGAACCTATACCTTCTTATTTTGGATTATTATTTTTTTATTTATTCATTTTATTGAGAAAAGTCTGACAGTTCGAGGTTCCAAATAAATGCTATTTATTAAAGTGTATGTGGATTATACAATATTTTTTTGTTTTTCCTTTTGTGGTGTGTACACAATTTGACACGTGAGTAGGCCCCACACAGGTATCCATGTGAGAATCATGAATTTTCAAAATTCATTCCATACACTTGTTTTAATTGTCCTTATAATTTGTTAATGATCATTGAAAAAGTGAGTAGCACTGGAAACTGCAAATGTTTGAATTCCAATGGCTTATCTGTTGGAGTTATTGGGATGCGTGGTAATAGTACATGTTCACCTTTAAATTTTCTGTTTAAAATTATGACTTCGATTATGTTGTTATACAGTTTAATAATTTATATAATAAAATTATTAAAATCAACATATTAAACAAATCAAATATTTCCTTGGTAACCAAAAATTGAAAAATGTATGCATCCAGTCCAAAACAGTGTCGACCCTTAAATACGCGATTTTCGAAAAATCCTTTCTTATTGCACGGTAAAAATATGAGAAGAACCTATATTCCAAATTTCAAGTCCGTACGTTGCGTAGTTTTTGAGATACAGTGATCAGTCAGTCAGTGGTATTTGGATTTTATATGTATAGACTCATGTAAACACATATATGTAAACACTCATTATCACCGCGGTGTCACTTGTGGTTTGCTTAAAGTTGAACATTACAGAATTACCATGCACCACGCACTCAATGTTTACATATTATTCTTTATACATTGTAGGTATACAACTATATTATAATGATTTTTTAAAATTGTATTTGGAAGAGAACTTTAGCCCGTAGGAGGAGCAGCTGCTCACCCTGCCCCCCGTACGCACGCCTATGATTATAAACTATTTTTAAAATAATCTATTTACTATTTAAGTAATATCTACAGTTAAAATTCTACATTGGTAAGCAGTTAAAAATTGGATAATTTATGAGCAAATAGCAATAATTGTACTCACGAACATTAATATTAAAATACACTTACATTATTTATGTATAAGTATTGTGGTGCTGGCGCATATTTTACGTGTTAAATCTAATAAGCATTTAATATATTCAACTAAATATATTGAGTAAAGTTAAATTCTATAGTCTATTGCAGTTATATACAAAAGTTATGTGACTCATTAATGTTATGAATTTTTTTTTTCCAATGACAAAAAATTTAAAAAAAAAAACTTAAACCATACATCAGCTTTAAAATAAATTCAATTATGATCTTTAATAAAATGTATAATAACATTTATAATAAATTATATTAAAATAATTAGTACATAGTAGTACACAACTAAAAAATATTAATAACTACTTTATTTTTTTTACATTAGATATTAATAACTTAGAAAACTATCGTCATTAGCTTTTAACATTTATTTTAAAGTGATTGTTTACATATCTATACAAATAAAATTGAAGATTAATTTGAATTGATTGAATATTTTGAAAAAAACAATCATAAAATGGGTATTGTTGTGCCAATTACACATGTGAAATGATGGCCCGGGCTGATTAAACCATCTAACATGGGCAGCTTATTGTTTTAACGTTTTAAGAGACTAAAAGTATCAAGATTAAACAGACTTACAGAAACTATACCTCCACCAGGCGTGGATCCAGGAGGGGATGGTAGGCCCCCCCCCGTCAGCCGTATCAAAATGTGTTGTATCTAATTTGTTATACTATTAAATTACATTATTTTGTGTTATACCATTCTAATGTATTGTTAATTGTTATTGTCACAAATGTTCGTCTTTTATTTTTATAACATAAATATATGAAGTGTCGATAACAACAATATTATTGCGACCGTATGAGCGACGACAACCACCGGCCGGCCAGCCCAACCGACTCATAGAGTTTTGTTCTAAAAATAGTATGAGATTCCATGTTTATTTTGTTTACAGATATTAAAATCTTCCTTATTCCTGACTGCTTGAAATATACATATTTATAATACAGATATCAGTTTATTTCTAGCAGTACTTATAATAGTAATAATTGTTGTGTTGACTGTTGACATTAGATTAGACATTCTTTAGTC